GGGGGGGGGGGCCGTCCCGCCGTCCCGCCGTCCCGGCCGAAAGAGCCCCGCGGCAGATGCGCCCCTCAATAAACGTTAATGAGACACCCCCCCCCACGCACCCACCCGTGGACTTCGCATCTCCCCCCCCCCCGGGAGCGGGCTGGCCGGGAGCCCCGGCTCCCTCCGAAACGTGGAGGGAAGGGGGGGCCCTCCCGGAGCGCCGCGTTTCGCTCGGGAAAACCGTTCGGACTTAAAAAAAAAAAAGGACGTTGTGCCCTTTCTTGCTGTTAGGGATTAGTAATTATTAGTATTATTCAGCTGTTGCGCTCGGAGGTTCATCGCGCTGTTAGCCGAACGCTGGCTGCAGAGGGGTTTCGGCGCAGGACCCGTGGCCCCCGTTAAACCCAACCCATTAGGCGCTGAAGCTGCAATAAAAAGAGAATTAAACCGAACCTTGTACGAACATCGAGGCATCCAGCCGCAGCAACTTTAATAATAACCATATTCAGGTGCATAGAATAGTTACAGGGAAAATCCTTCCGTATCTGTCCAGCGAGTAAAACTGTTAAAGATTTGGAGCCGGATATCCTTTTCTTTGCATGCCCAGGGAAACGAAAAAGCTATTCAGATTTTTTGTTGCGTTTTCTTTTTTTTTTCTCTTGTTGGGAGATCTTTTTTTTTTCCTTTTTCATTTCTTTTTTCCACAGAACTAAATGGGGTGACATGCTCCGTTGAGGGAAACAGAATAGAAATCCTCCTTCTGTAAAAAAATCATGGGGCAAATTTCACCGCTTCGGGGAACAGGATGACTGCGCTGGTTTGGGCAACAAAGAGAGAGAAATTCGCGGTGTGGTTTGTCTGTGTTACAGCCTCGTAGGTCCTGTTCGGGCCGTCGAGTGGCACAGCTGAGATTTCTGATCGTAATCTAAAAAGGAAATAGCTGCCATTTAGGGGACGTAACCGTTTCCACTATCGCCTTTTACCTATCCCTAAAATGCAGATTTATCCCTAATTTCAATAGCTGCTTCGTCAGAGAGTCTGAGGAGGGGGCTGATTAATAAATATACTCTAGAGATAAATTATCCCTTCAAATAAGGTTATCAGCGTTAAAATTGTAGATGTGCTTTCCGGACGTGAAAATATAGGTATGTGACAGAGAGATAATTGATTAAAGAAAAAAAAAGAAAAAGAAAAAAAACCCCAAAACCGAAACGGCCGCAGGAGCACTAACTCTCTCTCACATTGGAAGAGATGGCAATTTGTCTCAGAAAAATTCGCCACTACGAAAAAAATTCCCCCGCAGTGGCTGTCGCTCTGAATCGATAGGAGAGCGGAAAATGCCCACCGCCTGTCACCGACGAAGAGTGCTGTGGAGTTAGTTTATCTTTACGTTAAATCTGGGACATATTAACTGTTCCGTGGTCTAAAGTCTGTCTGCTCTGCCTATTCCCGCCGTGATTGAATCTGAAGGAAATCAGATGTGCGGGAGTGATCGAAACGTGCTAAGCTAGAGGATCTTGCGAGAGTGTAAACGCCGTCGCGGCGGGGATGAGATCGATAGGAAGAGGAAGGAAGGAAATGGATGTTATCTGTCCGAGGGCGACCCGGCAGCCTCCCCTCCCGCCCGCCCACCTCCGACGGCACCTTCCGCGGCCCCGCTC